CAAGCTGGTTAACCAGTATGAAAGTAGCATTTTGTAGATGCTGAGACCCAGCATTCAGAACACAACACAGTTCCTATGGTCCTATAAAAACTTGGAAACATCAGAGATTTTAAAAGTGTTATTTCCAGTAATTGAAATTAATGAAATATTAAAAAGTCTTGGAAATTTGTATAGCCAATATGAACTTTTTTAGTTATGCTAGTTCTTTTTTTAGTGAATTTTCAATAAAAAAAATGTTTTTCTCAAAATTCTTAAATTATAGTAAAGTCATGGAAAAAGCATGTAAATTCATAGGTCAAAAGTGTGAGAACCATAACAACGTACACTTGTGACCAGCTATGCTGATCTTGTCTTTCTTACTTCAAGTGTTTCTCTTTCCTTTTGAGCAGTTCCAGTCAGAGTCCTGTCCTTCTGGTCTTTCATGTGCTGCTGTCTCTCAGGAAGAGCTGCGAATTGTGGAGGGTGAGGGCCAAAATGCAGAGATGGGACTGTCAGCAGATGAGGTCAACAATAATACCTGTGCATGTAAGGAACATTGAACATTCTGTGTTTGGGATTGTTTTTTTTAAATGTCTTTTATGCTCACCAAGGCTACAATCATTTGACCAAAAACACAGTAAAAACAGTAATTTAACTTCTTATTAAAAATAATTTATTATTATCAAAGTTAAAAACATTTTTACAGCTTAATATTTTTTTGTAAACCATGATAAATGTTTTTTTTTTCAGGATGAATAGAAAGAACAGCATTTATTAAAAAAAAACTTTTGTAACTGTCTTTACTGCCTCTTTTGATCAATTTAATACATTTTTGCTGAATAAAAGTATTAATGGTAGTCTGTGTAAGTAAAAAGCATAACCTTTGAGTTTGTGTTACTGAAGTCTGCGTTTAAATGCCAGCTCATATCGGCTATCCCATGGAGTTTTCATATTTCTTTGACTTGACATCTTTTCTTTCATGTGTTTTTTCATAGCTAACACAGAGGAGCTGGACAGCCCTGTCAAAACCGGTCTTGATGGCGTACCGGATGGCGCTCTGGATCACTTGAGGATTGGAGAAGTCTTTACATTCAGAGTTACTGTGCTGCAGGCATCAAGCATATCCGCAGAATACGCAGACATATTCTGCCAGTTCAAGTAAGTGCCTCTGTTCTGTTCTGAAGTCTGTTTCCACTAGCGGACACTTGTCATTGTTCTGTATCTAATTTACTTTTTTTTAACTCTTCGTTTGTAGTTTTATTCACAGGCACGATGAAGCGTTTTCCACAGAGCCGTTGAAGAACACTGGACGTGGTCCACCACTTGGCTTCTATCATGTGCAGAATGTGAGTTTTAAACTGTAACACACAGCTCCACGTCACACTGTTTTTATTAGACTGAGGGTAAAACACTTGTTTCTCTGATTTTCCAGATTGCCGTGGAAGTGACTAAGTCCTTTATAGAGTACATAAAGACTCAGCCAATCGTGTTTGAAGTGTTTGGACATTACCAAAAGCAGCCTTTCCCTTCGCTCTGCAAGGATCTCATTAGGTAGATCCTGGCGATATTTATTATTTCCAACTCTGATTAATACATGCTACAAATGTCTGGATTCATCCATCAAATATACTGAAATGACAGCCAGAATTTTTTTTTCAGCCCATTGCGCCCATGCAGACGACAGTTCCCGAGAGTCATGCCTCTTTCCAAACCAGGTGAGGGCAATGAATGTATATGACCATTTTTTATGAACATTAACATAGATGTGTCCTGCCAGGCTGAAGCTGTTTAGCACATATTCTTTGCTTCGTTGTTGTATTGCCTTTTTTATGTTGCTGTTTGGGGTTCATGTGCCCATGTCACAGTCTTTATGTTGTTGGTGGTGGGTATAGCCGCAGATAACGACACCCCTCCTGATCGGGAGAAGAACCTGGAGCTGATTCGCCACCTGCTGCCAGAGGTCTTCAGTGGGGCTCTGGTGGACTCGCTGTCAAGCCACGCCCTCAATGCAGCAGGCATGGCTGTTTCCTACCTCCTTGAGGGGGAGGAGCAAGCCAGACTGCCGGCCCCACCCTTGTCTATCTGTTCAGTAATAAAAGCGCAGAAGCCGGGTCTGTAATGGTTCTGAGTGCCTAAGGCCAAAGAATGTCCCTGAAACTGAACCTCTGGTCTGTCTAATGCACTTGTAATAATATAATATAACATAACATATACAATTTGATTAAGAAACATCTCTTATCATGTGGACAATGTTTGTGCTGCTGCTTAATATTTGTATAGAAAAAGTGGTACTTTTTTCAGACTCTTTGATGAATAGAAAGTTCAAAAGAACAGCATTAATTTGAAATAGAAATCTTTAGTAACATTATAAATCTCTTTACTGTCACTTTTGATCAATTTAACGCGTCCTTGATTAATAAAAGTATTTTTTCCCCCTTTTTTCATACTTACTCAGAACTTTTGAATGGTAATGTATCTCTGTTTCCATAAAAATATTAAGCAGCACAGCTATTTTTAACACTGAAAAGAAACATTTCTTGAGCACCACATCAGCATATTAGAATGATTTCGGAAGGATCACGTGGCACTAGAGTAATGACTGCTGAAAATTCAGCTTTGCCGTCACAAGAGTAAATTGCATTTTAAAATGTATTAACATAGAAAACAGTTACTTTAAATTGTAACAATATTATCAAATAAATGCAGACTTGGTAAACATACGAGACAATCTGGAAAAACATAATTATTCCAAACTTTTATTAAATTATTCCAAATTATACTTGGACATTTTCTTGGATTTTTTAAACATACAAATAGGTGATATTTAGACAAAGTGTCCACTCACTTTCCCCAATTCACTGGGAGTCACACAAACTCTCTGCATTGACAGACTGAAGGACGCTTTGTTCCAGGGACTGCGTTTCGGCCTGATAATACTGTGTGTGGGTGTATGTCTTTTTCTCTCCCTCAGCCTCTCCATACAAACCTCATCAAGCAGATGGACAATTCTAGCCTTTTTCTCTGACATCATTCACCAGAAATAAACTGATGAATAGTGCTGGAATAAGAATGTATCAGTGCATGAGTAAATCTGGTTCTGTCACTTGAAACTGTGCTTGATGATGCAGTGGTCCCTTAATATCTGCAGGATAGTAGTTTTGGATCATTATTATTAAATATTTGGTTATTGGTTGTTAGTTTTTATTAGATTTCTTGTCTCTGGATATACAGTATCATATTCACTGGTTTGTCTTACAGAAAGAGAAAAATTGAAAAAAAAAATTATGATAAGTATTCATAATGATATGTATTAGTTAAGTATGAGTTAAAGGAAAAGTTCATCCTCAAATGAAAATTCTGTCATAATTTACTCACTTCATCTTATTCTTTTGTTTTTCTGTGGAACTTCAAAGTAAAGTTTTGATCAGTTTTTGTTTTTTCAATATAATGTAAATGAATGTGGACTGGGGCTGTCAAACTGCAAAATGACTAAAAAAGCACAAAGAATTAAAAAAAAAAGAATCTTCTGAGGCCGCACAATATCTTGACATCTTGTTCATGTAAGCACATGAAAGAAGTATAGAAGTCTGATTTCTTTCAATTAGCTTTGTATATTGCGTCTAGTTAAATGAATCACTAATCTGGTTCTCTGTTTCATCTCAATATGTAGCTATCATATGAATTAACAAGGCTTGTAATATGAGTTATGAATGAATAACTTTCATGATACCTTTATGGTGCTGTTTTTTTTGGTCATTTGGTTGTTCGACAGCCCTAGTCCTTGTTAACTTACATGGAAGAAAGTGGCCAGAATATTCTTCAGAAATTCACCTTTTATGTTCCAGGGAAGAAAGAAAGTCATTTTTCATTTTAGGGTGAATTATTCCTGTAATAATTCTGCTTGGCATGTGCAGATGTTCAGGGATCACTGTAATTCACATGACTTTATTCATCTTAACAGCAGTGTGCCTTTACATCGGACTCCTGATCTCCCACTCCTGCTCCTCTCTAACTATGGTCTATTCCTCCTCTTATGCTGTGGTGCATATCTTGCTCTCTCCTGTGAAACTCTAGTATCCCTTTCATCTGCCATTGAATTTTTATATCCATTGTTCTAGATTAACGCGATATTGATTTGACGCTCTTTCTCGCTCTGTCTTCCTCTGCTTTCTGCATAGTACCTGCCACCAAACTGACAGCTCTCACACGACCCACGGCAGGACCGTGCCACTGTAAATACGACCTGATGGTCTTCTTTGAAATCTGTGAGCTTGAGGCCAATGGAGAGTAAGTGTCTTGTATAACCGTTGACCTTTTCACTTTAAATTGGCGTCTGAATAGAATAGATTGTAAAATCGATTACTGTCTTTACTGGGGCCTGTAAAAGTGATTGAATGAATTTGTCATATGGTACCTTATTTGAAAACAATTATGTCTAAAAAAGATCAGTTCTTTTTTAGCATTCAATTTAATTAATAAAAAAATAAATATTATACAATACATAGTTTAAGAAATATTTGTATATATATTTAAATATATACATATTATTACATTATTATAATATTCAGTCTATTGGTTTTGTAAACCCTTGTACATGTTGTGTTCAGTTTTTATATCCAGGAAAGGGTGACAGTGCTGGTTATTGTATATGACACATATCTTTCCCTTCCAGCTATATCCCAGCCGTAGTGGACCACCGGGTAGGCATGCCCTGTCATGGCACTTTCATGTTACATCAGGTACTGGGAAATGTTGTTTTTTTTCTATTTCCCTTTCCATTTTGTTATTTTCTCTCATACTGTTTATTTTAACATTAGATTTCAAAATTAATAATAACATACAAACATAAAATAACACAATATTTACATAACAGGGCATCCAAAGGAGAGTCACAGTCACCATAGTACATGAGTCAGGAAGAGATATTAAGTGGAAGGAAGTGCGAGAGCTGGTTGTAGGTGAGTTTGGGCTCAAATGTAAATGCTTATGCGCAAACCAAAGTGAAATTTGATGATATTCAACAAATGGGATGTATTTTGTGTTTGACAGGGCGCATCCGGAACACGCCTGAAGCAGATGAGACAATCATCGACCCCAATATTCTCTCTCTCAACATACTGTCTGCAGGATACATCCGTCCTGCACATGATGACAGGTACATTCCCAACCCTAATAAATATAACAAGACCAGTGTAGAAGTTTACAAATAAAATTGACTTTCTCATGTCTTTAACACTAAACATAAGACATCTTGAAAGTTATGCTTGTCATTTTATATTCAAGAACACCTCCAAAGGGAGTTTTATTCTTCTGTCATGAAGCCTTTTTTCTCCTTAAGAACACTCAGTAGCAGATTTTCTTAACTTTGGCTGTTTCCCACTACACTCTTTTTAATACCAGGTCTCCATTTTAGTGATTGCTGTACGTAATACGACTCTCTCCTCAGCCTTGGCTCATGATCTGAGAGCTGGAGCCAAGCCTGTGACAAACAGTTCTCTGTACAACTTTAAAGCGATGAGTTTTTGCCAAAGAGAAATGAGTCGGTGAACCAAACCTTCAAAACAGCTCTTAAAGTCCTGTCTCAAGGGAGTGATTCAAAATCAAACAGCACAGCCACAGCGCCAGCCTTAGATAAAGACAAGAAGTATATTCACACTTTTATGTTCCTTTACACAAACATACCATAAGTCGCTGCATGGTTGAGGTGGCTGACAAATGGCACTTACTAGTATTGCCATATTGAGGCTTTTAGGTGCACATTACGGGTTTGGGAGAGTCTGATCATCCAGTTAAGGGGGAACCAAAAAGAACTCCAAAAGAAGTCATAACAAAAGGTTAGGGGATCTTAAAAGTATACAACCGTTCAAAAGTTTGAGGTCTATATGATTTTTTAAAATGTTTTTGAAGTTTTTTTTAAAGAAGTCTCTTATGCTTAACAAGGCTGCAATTATTTGATCAAAACAGTGACGCTGTGAAATATTATTATAATTTATTTATTAAAATAACTGTTTTCTAATATATGGCAAAGCTGAATTTTCAGCGGCCATTACTCCAGTCTTCAGTGTCACATGATCCTTCAGAAATCATTCTAATATGCTGATTTTTGGTGGTCAAGACACATTATTATTAATATCAATGTTGAAAACATATTATTAATATCAATGTTGAAAACATTTGTGCTGCTTAATATTTTTGTGGAAACCGTGATACTTTTTTTTTATCAGGATAGTTCAAAAGATCAGCATTTATTTGAAATAGAAATCTTTTGTAACATTATAAATGTATTTACTGTTAAAATCGATGCATCCTAAGTATTTTTTTTTAATGGTAGTGTAAGTAAATTGGAAAAAAAAGAAGTTATTTATGAATGACAGTGTAAGTACTGTTTTAATTTGACATATTACATGAGGAATATTATAGGATCAGAATTGGACAGTATATAAAAACCTAACCTGAACGGCTGTGGTATTTTTTATTTTTTATATTTACATTGTGCAAGTATATCACTTTTTTTTAATCTAAAAAGTTGATAGTAAGATTGTAAATTACTGAAAATTAAACGGTTAGCATTTGGCTAGCTATGGTAGTAGCTCCAAACACCTTTTTTAAAATTTTGCTTCCAAAAATCTGACTCTTTCAAAAGTCATTTATTCAAAAGCTGTCACTGGGGCAGTACCTTTTCAAAAGGTACACTTTTGTACCTTTTAGGTACTAAGGTACCAATACTTTAGGTACAAAGGTGTACCTTTTGAAAAGGATATGCCCCAGTGACAGCTTTTATTTCTGAGAGTGCATGGTACACAGATAAAATAAGCCTTGATAAATGCTTAAAATATCTTAACGCAAATTCTCAACACACCTCTTTCCCAACTGTAGGATTGCGTTTAATCATTGCGGAGACATTGCTGCATGACATAACCGCAGGGGGTCAGGATGCTTTTAGCGCATCGCTTGACTGACAGACTAATCCATGCAGCTGCTCTTTTTCTGTTTTATAAAACTCATAATTATCATTCCTCTCCCACTGCACGTAAGACAGAATGTGGTTTTATTAGCCTTGATGAAGGAGGTCACAATTTATTGAACCAACAATCTGAACCAAAAAAATGGTTCTCTAGTTCACCTCCTTGCTGGTTTTGCAAGTCTTCCCATCTGATGCTGGTCTGCATTTGTGTCCATTCTCATCTGTTCATTCCATTCGCTCTGTCCACACTCCATTGCTCAGACTCAACTACCTGCTCACTGAACCACACAGTGGATTGAGTTCTTGGCATCTCTGCTAGTCACCGTCACGTAACTCTGATTTACATGTGAAGATTTATTTCAGAAGAATGTTTACCATTTAAAATCACTAGAAGCTAATTTATGAACCCTTTACTAATCAAATCCATCATTAACTTTCTCTAATCATGTTAGTTATTGTAAACAATAGGCCCTGTTTCTCATGTCACGTTATGCTGTAGCAGCCAAACAAAGCATTTTGTCATCTGCAATGCATTACTAGGACTTCACCTTAGATGGGCATCATATATCAGCATCCAGACTTTGCAAACATGAAATGCTTCAAATAAAATCATAATATATTATTAGATATATTATTAGATGTGTCCGCCTGAACCCCACTGATGCAAAACCGCATAAAAGAATCATTCGAACCTTCCGTTTCAAGCAGCAGTGACCTCCTCTCCTGCGATTTAACCACAAGTCTTCACTAGAAAGTCCACACTACCTATAAAACATGTAACGGAGCTGGATTCATGCACCAATGCAAAGGAACAAGGACAAATATGTGACAGGAGAGTTGTGCAGAGGCCTTGACAGCCACATTATATTCAAACAACAAGTCAAATAATTGGAAACAAGCTTCTGGGCCTCCACACAAGCTTCTCTCCACACCTTCTGATAGTAATAATTTTTTAGTCCACTAACAGAATGTTGTCTTGTGTTTTTCCAGACAGTTTCTTGATTCGGACATTCCTAGGTATATTACCTTCAAATCCCTTTCCTCTCATAAGACACACACACACACACACACACACACACACACAGAATGTGTATTTTTCATTCGTTTATTTCTATGGCCATCTGTCCAATCAACCTCCATCCTCATTTTTTGGCTCTTTGGTTTGCCTATTTATTTTCTCCTTCCCTCCTACTATTTCTGAAAATGTGAGAGCATTTCACTCTGGCTTCCATGGAAATGCTTTTGTGTGTGAAGCTTCTGTTCCGTATTGTATGTTTTTGAAATTTTTTGCACCTCTAGGTGACTGGATTGCATGGCTTGGCTTTTGTATGGGCTGTGTTTTGGCTGAGTCATTTGCAGGAGGTGTGGTAGAGATCATAGTCACCTTCCCAGCTAACAAGGAATGTTTTCAGAACTTTGGCTAACATTCTGGCAAGGTGTTCTCAAATATATGAACAAATGTTCTTCCGTTAATGTTAACAGAATGTTTGTTTAAAGTTATGTGGTCTTTAATAATGTTGTCGAAATGTTAACACACACAAACAAAAGTTTTTACATTGTTCATGGAACTTTTTCGTAAAACGTTTTAGACATTGGTATAACATTTTTAAATATGACAACTTGTTTCAGAATGTTCAGTGAACATTCAAAGGATCTGTTTAAAGATTACCATAATGTTTGCGAAATGATGCAATGGAATGTCTTCTTAACATTTGTGTAACCGAAAACCAGTGTTCTTAAAACATTTTAAAAACTGGACACAAATGAAACATAATAGAAACACAATTTTTATAACTTTATAAATACATTTGTATTCTATGTCACTCACTTCTTGATCATATATTCCTCCAGTTTAAACAAAAAGGAATTAAAAATAATAATAATAATAATGAGTCACATGAAAAAATACTATAGTAATTTATAGTAAATACTATAGTGTTTGTGAACCATACTAGTAAAGTGTATTATCCTGTATATATTATAGTATTTACAACACTTTGTTAATGAATGCTACAGCATACTGTAGTATTAACTATAGTGAACTGATAAACTGTAATAAATACTGCAGTATACTTTTGTTATTACTACAGTAAACTGTAGTGTATTGTAGTATACTATAATTGTAGAAAACTTAGTACAGTACTTTAATCACGTTTATTGCCAGTTAGCCCCCCTTGGCATTCTCTGCTCATGAGTAGCTGTTATTTTTACCACTAGGGGGCAGTGTTTCTTTGAAGATTTCAAACACTGTGTTGCCTGAATGACTTTGAGCAAACATTTCTAAGAGCTGCTTGTTCTGCAGACTGTAATTATCAAATCAGGACAACTGTAATCCCAGGAATTAGCTGCTTGTTTGTAAATATAAGGGTGGTGTCGCCACAGAGGGGTATGAGAGCATTGTTATTATTATCCAAATCCGTTTTTCTTGTTGTGCTGCCAGGACTGTTTAGTTTACCAGGGCAATTACAGATCACACTGAGAATTGTATTTATCGTAACATTCAATTCAACACCCTCTTCTAACTATTATATGTTTACACAAAACATATACTGTTAAAACTGGCAGCTGTGGTTGCCAGAAATTCAAGTACTTTACTATAGTATGGTTCAAAAACACTATAGTATTTAGGCATGTGGGCTACCACACATGCTCCATCAGTCCCACATAAATGTATTGCTCTTGCTTAAAAAATTAGATGACATCTCTTAATTAAAAAATGTATGGTTTCATTTATACTGTTCTGCAAGCAGATCAAGTTCCATCACAAATGTCAAAGCAACACTGTAAAACACAACTGTGTGGGGCGATAACTGTTGGCCAAACCACACACTAGGTCTGTGTTGTTTATGGGCGGGAGGGCTTGCTCCGCTAACTTCGGTATTAATCATGAATCTCTGAACAAAATTTGTGTTACATTAGTCTACTGAGATTTACGATCGCATACGAAAAAAATGCGTTTAATCACGTTTATTGCCAGTTTAGCCCCCCTTGGCATTCTCTGCTCATGAGTAGCTGTTATTTTTTACCACTAGGGGGCAGTGTTTCTTTGAAGATTTCAAACACTGTGTTGCCTGAATGACTTTGAGCAAACATTTCTAAGAGCTGCTTGTTCTGCAGACTGTAATTATCAAATCAGGACAACTGTAATCCCAGGAATTAGCTGCTTGTTTGTAAATATAAGGGTGGTGTCGCCACAGAGGGGTATGAGAGCATTGTTATTATTATCCAAATCCGTTTTTCTTGTTGTGCTGCCAGGACTGTTTAGTTTACCAGGGCAATTACAGATCACACTGAGAATTGTATTTATCGTAACATTCAATTCAACACCCTCTTCTAACTATTATATGTTTACACAAAACATATACTGTTAAGTTTACTGTTAAAACTGGCAGCTGTGGTTGCCAGAATTTCACTTTAAAAAAATACTGTGAACATGTTTCCAGTATTACAGGATGGCATATTGGTGCCTGTATATTGTACAACTTTTACAACTGTATATTGTGACATAATGTTGGAATACCAATCTATTTAAACTACCAAAACGTCTTTTGCACTTTAAAATGTACTGATAACCACCATAATAATACAGGTGGTATAATAAAAAATGCCACATGATGAATTAAAGTTCATCATAAATGGGTTGTTTATAAAACATTGTATATTCGATATATTTATATATTCAATACTCGTGCACAGCTTTTATTTATTTATTTACCGAATATTGTGAGGAAAGTTACAGTTGACCAATTAGCAGGTTTTTACTGTAGCATTTTTACAACAGTATAAATTACTTTTTTGTAATTTGACAATTTGTGGACATAAAGAATCTATCCAATTTAAAGCAATAATAGGATTTGGGAATGTACGAAGACTCTTTAAAGCATTTGATATTATTCTTAGTACACACTTGTCACCTTGGTAACTGTACTGTAAGCATTATTTGCACCCCAACAAGAGTTTGCAGGGGAGTTAAGGATATATTTATATATTCAATACTCGTGCACAGCTTTTATTTATTTATTTACCGAATATTGTGAGGAAAGTTACAGTTGACCAATTAGCAGGTTTTTACTGTAGCATTTTTACAACAGTATAAATTACTTTTTTGTAATTTGACAATTTGTGGACATAAAGAATCTATCCAATTTAAAGCAATAATAGGATTTGGGAATGTACGAAGACTCTTTAAAGCATTTGATATTATTTTTAGTACACACTTGTCACCTTGGTAACTGTACTGTAAGCATTATTTGCACCCCAACAAGAGTTTGCAGGAGAGTTAAGTACAGCTCTGCATTGTCCCACCCATCCATGTTGTCACAGAAACCAATTTTAATTTCCAGCAGAGTGCAGCAGCTCAACAATCCATGCAAGCATTACCTCATTGGTAGCATGCTTGCTTTCTTACCCCTGTGCAATGAGCAATTCTTCAATGTTATTTAGGTCCTCGATGCAAGCAGAACCAATAAACTGAGAAAGAAATGTCTCGCTGTATATTTTGCCAAGAGCATGAGTTATAGTTTGGATTGACTGATATAAGAAATTTAAGGGAAAGAAATATTGAAAGGGAAGTTAAAACAACAGGAAATCTCTTTTATCATGTGTAAATGGGAGGTGGAAATTATCCTCACAATCCCTCATCTTGCTTGGTATGCTGAGCTTGATTTATGTGGTTGTTTGGGAGTGAACAATAACATCAGAAATGGATTGGTTGGGTGTCCTCTAAATGTGATCTCTATGAGAAGGTCTGTGTTTGTGTCCTAACCTTTTAAAAGGTACGCCCTTGTAAACTAAGTTTCAAATCAATGTTTTTTTGCAAATATTAAACATAAACTCTGTTGCAGGACAGTGAATTTTATATATTGTAAAACTATTTTCCAAATCGACAAGGCAGAGTCTATTTACCGAAAAATAGAAATACTTCAAGGCAAGTGTGTCTCTCCTTAAATTACTACTTATTAGGAGATGTATATGGTTATGGTAACTGGGTATAAGATTATGAAATTAAAATTCTGTCATCATTTACTCACACTCATGTTATTCCAAATCTGTAGGACTTAATTTTTTTTTGTCTCCAAAAAGAAGATATTTTGAAGAATGTTGGGAACCAAACAACATTGGAGCCCATTGTTTTCCTTTGTATGGACCAAAAAAAACAAAAAAAACAATGAGACGCTTCTCAAAATATCTATGATACACAGAAAAAGAAAGTAAAACAGTTTTAGAATAACATGAGAGTTAGGTAAAGGCTGGAATGCACTACATGACTTTTGGAATCTGAACAGATTTTAAAACACTAGGCAT